AATTTTATTTAAAAAATAGTACTATTTAAAAATAAAAAAAAAAACGGGTACAAAGTTTTCAAACCTAGGTAAACATATGAACCGCATATCATTTTTTGTAATATCTTTGCAACTCTCTGTTTTCTTTAAAAACATTTAAATAGATTACCTACTACTGACTTAATTGAATAATTAAAATGTTACTATTTTATTACCACGAGTAGCCAAAAAAATTTCTCAAATTATACAAATGTTAATTGAAAAATTTTTGAAAAGAAAAGTATTATGCATTTAATAAATCTTTAATAACACTGGTAATTTTTTTATTAATATAAATAGCCACATTACTATTTTTAAAAAATGATAATTTTTAATTTATTTAACATTGAACAATTTAATGAAGGAATGTTTTTATAAATACCATATTTTCGTTTTTAAAAAATATATAACGACAAAAATATAACGTGTGCATTCATCAGTTAATGTGCACATTATTTGAGCCCCTCAAACTATCAATAAAAAAATTACTCGGATTTTTTGATAAAAGTATATAGGTAATCTTTCATGTAATAAAGAAATTATGTACATACAACAATAAAAATTGTGAACGTGTAAATGTATTTATGTAGATAGTAAAATTAGGAGAAATGACCACAACTGTCTTGCAGCCATATTATATTTTTCTCAAATATGGAATAACTTTAAAATAATTTTTTTTAAAACATATTAATACTTGGCAGATAACAGCAATTTTGCTTCCTCGTGTAGGAAGCTTTTTAGTCCTTTCGTTTGTAAAAATTTTCAAAGTGTCGGAAACAAATTTTTCTCTATATAGAAACATGTTATATGAGATCCTGATCAATTGTGAGGATGTATATATGTGTGTGTATTGTGTGTGTATGGATCCCTTTTTTGTTTAGAAGATAACTTTAACAGGTTTTAATGGATTTAGATAAAATTCGGTAGGCTCATTTATCATATTAATATCTCAAATCTAACCAAAGGATTTTAAAAAAAAACCCAAAAAAAAAATTTTATCGTCTTTTTTCCAAAAATTTTTTTTTAATCGAAAAAATTTTTTAATAGAAAAATTTAAGATTATATATAATAAAATCGTATTCCTTACGTCAAGACAAATCGATCAGTATATATAATTAGTATAGTTTTAATTTAAATTTAAAGTATTAATGGAAGTTAAAAAATCAAAAATTCACATTTTGGCTATAAAATTTTGTGATTATTTAAATTTAAGTTTATAGATGAAATAATTGTATTCCTTACATGAAAACGAATCGATTGGTATATATATAAAATTTACATTTGAAGTAAATTTAATAAATTAATGAAAGTTAAAAAATAGAAAATACACATTTTAGCTGAAAAATTTTATATTTATTTAAATTCAAGTTTAAATATAAAATAATTGTGTTCCTTGCATTAAAACGAATCGATATAATTGTAAATAATTATAAATTATATATTATTTTTCATTAATATTTAGAAATTTCGGTTAAAATATGAATTTTTGATTTTTTAACTTTCATTAATTCTTTAAATTTTACTCAAATGTATAGGTACTCTAATGTTAATATTATTATATTATTTTTGTATGTTTATTTCAATGTTAATGCTTTCTCCACGAGGAAGCAAATTTTTTTGTTGATCGTAAAAAGGAAGCAAAATGTTCATGTAATGAACATCTGAATTTACAACTTGTTTAATTCTATTTTTTGGATTTTTACAAAATTTTAGCTCAATCCATCAAATATTTTGAGAGAAAACCTGCGGAGAATATTTACATGTGAAATCACAACAATAACATAACATTAAATTAATTAAAATGTCTTTAAAAATATATTTTTTAAGTTTAATTTTTACTTTTTTAGATAAAGAAATAAATAATTTAAAAATAAATGAAAAAAAAAATCTATACGGTGGGAATATGAGATTGGACCGAAAAATTTTAGTACCCGCCCAGATTTACCCTCTTCTGTGTATGAAGACCAACCAAACAAATTTTTCTTCCCTAAAGAGATTTCGTTCACCCAGAATTTATGTTTAAAGCAAAGGTTCATCGTGACAAGTTTCGTGACAGTCACTCACATTGTAAAAAAATCTTAAAGAAAACTTACTATCTTTAAAAATCCTTTAGTCCGAAGATACAAACTGAAGGACTGCATACAAAATACATGGTCTTAAATGTAAGTTAAAACAAATATAATTTATTTTTAAGAAGTAGATACACTATAAAACGTTTTTTCTATTTACACTTTTCTACTTTTTTAAATTATACCCGCGGAAGTTTAAAAGGCCGCTTTCTTCTTCGATTTTGAGTTTTTTATTACAAAAATGAAATAATTTTTACGTATAAGATTTTTTTAAACTGAGATCGAGACACCCGAAAAATATCGATTCTGTCAGAAAGAGGTTCTAATTTTTTTTAATTTTTTCTATTTCACCTTAAACTTATCAAAATATTTTAATTGGAAACTTTATCTCAGGGCAGGTTTCACTTCTTCTTACACTAAATATTACATGTCTATATTTATTGAACTAAGAAATCCAAAAATTATACTTTTAAAAAACATTTTTTTGTAACAATGAATGTATATGTTAAGTGAATGTAATTTTTAAATTTAAGCATAAATAATTATTTAGAGTAATGAAAATTAAAATAATTAAAATAATATGTCCATTTTTTGCAAAATAACCACCAATTCTGCAAATTTAATAAGATTATTGAAATAATTTTCATTTTTAAATATGGTATAAATATAGGATCGCAAATAACTAACTTATAATTATATATATATATATGTTTGTCCTAACAATCAAAATGTCAACATATTAAGTTTAAAATTTATTATCCAATTTATATCAATTTATTAGCAAGTTTTCAAAAATCGATAAATTCAATTTTCAAAACATCTTAAATCCAAAAAAGAATGTACATAATTAATTTATTACAATTTTTCTTCGTTAAAATAAAGTTCAGTCGTAATGTGATAAATGTCATTTGTTTAAATTTCTCGAAATAATAAAATATAGATATATCAATTTTTGAAAACTTACTCTTAAACATAATAAAGTGAACAGATCAATTTAAGTTAAAATAAGGTTTAAGGGGGGAACACCAGTTGTAACTCAAGAAATAATGCTTTTTACAAGAATATTTTCCAAAAGAACAATGAATCTTTTTAAAGAATACTATTTATTAGTTAAAAGTACATGTTAAAAGCTGTAATTTAAAAGAAAAAAAAATTTTTTTTAACAAAAACTTTTAGGGATATGAGCCATTGAAGTGGCGCCTTAAGAAAAAAGGCGAATTGCGGTGACCAGCATTCTGCAAGTATACTTCGTCTGAAATACAAAAATGAAATTGATTTACATTTATTATAAGATTATCTAGTTCGTGATCGAAGGATTTAAAAAAAAAAAATTTGACAAAATGGCGACCTGTTAAAGTCAAAAGTATGATTTTCGTTAAAAAAATACGGTCGATTTTCAGCTATATAAAAAAAAGTTTTGCATAAAAAAAAAATCCTTCGATCACGAACTAGACTTATATGTGTAAATGAAGCACACTAAATTTTAAATAAATTGGTTTAATGGTATTCGAGTAATCGTGGTCACCGACTTGGAAAATGTCATTTTGAGAAAAACGCATTCAAGGTTTCAACTTACTTTTTTTTGTTCAGAAGAAATTTTGTTTCCAATTAACAAAGAGTCATCGATTCCTGGACCATATAATAACTCTTCCGCAGTGGTTGCCGTTTCTAAATCATAGGAAAAGGCCATCTGTCGTTAGGGTCAGGTATGGCTGGCCACCTTGTCTGAAGCCACGGGACGCGCCGCTGCAGTGTTCTGTATATCTCATTCATTTTTCACCGGATCAAGTTTAAAATTTACAGACACATTTCTAAATATGTATACTTTAAGAAAATGCAAAAAAAAAAATCGATTTTTCGAAAGTTACAACTGGTGTTCCCCCCTTAATGTATATTATTAAAGCCCTCACATCACTGGATATTTAAGAATATCTTTAGAAAATCTTCAGGATATCCTAGGGATATCTAAAACGCTGAAAGCAAATGAATATCCATAGAATGTCCCAGGAATATCCTTAAATATCCGGTGCTGTGAGGGAGGAATTAAGTCAAGGGACAAAAATAATGTAAAATTTTAAGTCAAATTTTAGTTAATTTTTTGACTTCAAGATCAAAGATTAATAGCAAAAACGTCTCCACAGAATGTAGGTAAATAGACAAACTCAATATCAAACTTTTTCATATAACGGAATCAGAAATATCTAATTCTATAATGTATAGAATTTCTTTTTAACAGATTTTTATAAAGTAAACCTTATATTTAACCGAATTTTCATAAAAGACAAACTTTATGTAACTGCATTTTTATTTAACAAAATTTCTATTTAACCCAACTTTTGCATAAAAGATTCGTTTACTAAATTTTTATTGGAAATAATTTCAATTTAACAAATTTTTCTTTTTATATAAATTTAAAAACGTCGAAATTTCATTTACTCCTAATCGAGATAAGACGAAAAAGCAACGGACAGAAAGATTTAAGAACGAATTTTGAAATTGATTAAACACAAATTTTCTTGCTATTTTCTATTGGTCAACTTTTAAATTCACTTCTAAATATTTCAGTCGATTTTTTGTTGTGCCCTATGTAAATTTGATGAAATGAAAATTTGACGTTTTAAAAGTTCTTCAAAATAATAATTCGATCAAATGTAAATTAAGTGATATTAATATTCGGATAAATAGAAATTCAATTACAGATTAATTCTATATTACATTACTTTTTGTGGAAATTTGGTTAAATATAAATTCTTTTAGACTAAAATTGTGCTAAATGGAAATTCAGTTAATTAAGAAAGTGTTTTGTAAAATTTGGACTAAAATAATTCTATAATATAAAAATTTGTTTGAATTTAAGGTTTGCTTTAAAATATTCTGTTTAATGTAAATTTAATAATCCTGAATTCGACCTCGCTAAAATGGGGAATATTCATGAGTCTCTATAAAATATAAATTAATATTATTTTAACATTAATTAAAATTTAAAAACACTGCAACTTACTCCAAATATTGTTACAGTCATCATGACTAATGAAATTTATTCCCTCAACTGACTGTCCATCCTTTTTCTCCATGTATAGAGTTTCGTGAATTTTGTAGTCCCAATAACCGTAGGCTAACCATTTTACCCGCGAATAAACTGTTGTTGAATGTTCTGCGCGCATGTACTCATACTTGCGTATTGCAATTCCTTCAACAATCTATGTAAGAAAAACGGGTCAGTAAATTATTTATATTTTTCAATTTTTATTCAGCCTCTTAAGATATAAATTTATTTAAATTTATTACTTCGTGAGTCTGTCGAAGGACAGCATTTTCTCTGATCGCCACTTTCAGCTCATCAATTATTTCTATTTTGGTTTCATCAATTTTTTGTTTCAAATTATCATTTTCCTTATGAGACATTTCAGAATTTGTATTTTGTCTTTCCGACAATTCATTAAGTTTCTCGGTCATTTCTTCACGAAACTGAGAAAATTCCATTGAATTCGCCGTCTATAAAAATAATAATTATTATAAAACATATGACAAATTATTTTATTTGCAATTGAAAGGAGAACCTCATGATAAATGCTTTACAATTTACTAAACCCCAATTTTAAATTTGTTATGTTTTGTCATAGTCATATCGATTTAAAAATGACAAAATCAATCAAACATTAAAAGTTCAATGCTCATTACTTTCTATATTTTTTTATTAAGGGGGGAAACCCGTGTGAATGCACGTTTTTTCAATATTTTTTTACAAAAAAATAGAAAAGTTTATTGAATTGAAATAAAGAATAACTCAAAGTGTACAATGTAAGCTATGTATAACAATTTTTTTAATTACAAATATTGCAATATGGCGGCGTTACAGGCGTTTAAAGTTAGATCACAAATGCTTATGTGCGGAAAAATTAATTTTTTATTGATTGGTGATTCTGATAGAAAAAAGTTTTCTCTATTAGAATCATCAATCAATAAAAGATAGATTTTTTCGCACGTAATCCCCCTTTTTACTGTCCAGGTCACAGATAGTAAACTAATTTTTAAAGCACGAAAAAAAATTGTAAACAATTTTTGTACAAGAGTTTCCCCTCTTAAATAATCTATTTAAAAAATTTTTAATATATAAGGCACTTATTTATATACGACAAGAAATTACCAAAGTTACAAGCCAATCCATTAAGTTTTCATTTTTTTGGTACAATTTAGGAATGATGCCTGTTATGTAGGGAAATTTAACAGTAACGAAAAAATTATTCACCGCATTTTTACGTTATAACTAAGACTATTATGGAAAAGAGAAAAATAATTTGTTCATTACCGTTGGCATTTCTTTCGTGGCAGAACTTGTTTGTAGGGCCTGTGCTTCATCATATTTTTTTAAAAAAAACATATCACCAGCTGCTTCGTTATTTTTCTTTTGTATTGCAGACTTTTTCTAGAAGATAAAAAATTTTAAAAAAAGTTTTGAACTTTTATTGTATATTATTAAAATTAAAATCAAATAATTAATTTGACCACATGTTAGGTTATTGTATTCCTTAATTAAATGTGATATCGTTCAAGTTTAAAGAATCAATAATAATATTTTAAACAATTCAAATTTGCAAGGATAAAAACTTCAATTGTTGTCTTTTTATAAATTGATTTTTACTTAAAACCTATTTCATTATAAAAAATTAAAGAAATTATTTTCTTGGAATACATTTAATTTTTTAGAAATTTTATATTAAGAAGAAATTCAAATTTTACATAAGGTAAGAATTAAAAATAAACTTTTCATAGTACATAATTTTTTTAGCATTTATAAAAATGTTTGATATTTCTAGTACTTTTGATGAAATTTCTTGATTTCCCTAACGCGTGGCGATCAAAAATTTTGTTGTCATGATATATTAAGATTAATTTTACACAAGGTTGTTATGCTATTTGATTAACCTTGCTGAATTAATTTTATTGAAAAGTTTGGTTAAAAAAATTTGCGGACATAACTGTTTATAAAAAATAACAAATGAAAATAAAACTCACATCTAATTGTGCAGCATTTTTCTTTTGAATGTTTATCACATCTTTTTTCTTATTTTTTGGCCCAATTAATTCCGGGGAAAATTTTTTATAATCTTTTATCACCCGCCCACCTCTTCTAACAGTCGTTCCTGAAAAATATAAAAATGAATCGGTTATAATAAAAGTTATAATATCTCTCTTTGAGCCAGAAACATAGTTAACAAAATTAGTGAATTTTAGAAATAAAATAAAATGAATAAATAAAATTTATAAAATAAAGTAATAAGTTTGAAATGTACCTGATGTGCTGGGAGTGCTCACTGATTGTGCAGCAGTAGGTTGTTCGTCCTCCATCTGAAAAAATGTCATCAACAATTGAAAAGTTATTGTTATATTCCCTACTTACACCTATCTGTAATAGGTATTTATGACCTTTTAAATAAAAATAAATTTTAATAAAATCAATAGAAATTAACGTACTACATTACTCATTTATAGCGTAAAGGCTCTAATTACGGCGCGATTCGAGTCAAAACACCTTTGAAATAGAAAATTCGACATGTCTATTGTAGAAAGTCAATTTAAGACTTATTAAATGAAAAGCTTATGTTATTTAGATATTAAAAAAAAATTTAACTTTATAAAAATCGATTATTTAAACAAATTTAAGAAATTAAAACTAATACTGTAAATTTCTTTTACGGCGCGTTTGTATCGGTTTCAATGTGTATTTTGAAGATACTTAGCAAGTCATTTGAAGATACTATACTTGCTCAGCGTAATTAAAGTCAATGGAAATCTGCAAAAAGTTTTAATTGCAGCGTGGAAGAATTTGAGATCAAATAATTAAATTATTAATTGTTTAAATGTGCATTTTTATTAGTAATTGTATCAAAAAAAGATTAAAATAATTTTTTTAAATTATTTTATGACAGTTACATTAAATATAATAGTAATAACAATTATTTTTTATGAACGCGCCGTAATTGATGCACTTACCCTATAAATTTCAAAACCCATAATATATTATAGTTAACAAAAAAAAATAAAAAACTTTACGTTTGAATTGTAGTTTATATTATAAGTTTTGGGAAATAAAAATAATTATTTCTCCCATAGTAGAAGCATATTTATCAAACTTACAAGTGGATGAAATATTTTACAAAAAATTTGTAATAATTACATTTTAATACTTTTATAAATAATACAACTTTAAGAAATTTTAATAAATTCGTATAACCTTGAAAAAAATGTCAATAATTTCTAGAAAAAAGTAAATGTATTTATCATTTTCAATAATTCAATATTGATCCATTTTCTTCAAACTTTGCAGAATATTTCTTTATATACACACCTAAAATATAAATGAAGTTTAAAATTTTTCTAAATTCTAAAAAGACTTGAAATTATAATTTTTTCTCACTATAACTATTTTATGCTGATAAATAATTAACTTAATTAATAGTAATATAAATTTTCTATTACATTAAAAGATTTACAAATACTTGCAAACAAAATTGTCGTTATTAATTATTAAAAAGTCGTCAATTAATTCCAATTAGATAATAATTTTAATTATTTAGCGTCTTTTCAAAAATTTAGTTCTAGAATTGGCGGGGGATATAAATAAAGAGATTAAGTTAAATTGGTTGTAACTATTATTAAAAAATGACCAAACAAAAAAAAATAACAACTTACTAAAGTTTTTTGAAGGAATTCAGAAAAATTCAATTTATAATAATTTTGTAATTTGTCAACCTAAGTGTATAATAATATACAAAGGAAAAAGATAAAAATTTAATAATTGCCTAAGAATATTATTATTAGTATTGTCAGCATACAACAATTCTGTAAAAAACCATAAAGACTTCTTCAGCAATTTTTCACAACTATCGTTATTCTACAGTTGACATATAAAAAAGTTAGTTTGTATTAGAGTCTAATTAAATAATTTTTTCCATTTTTCGAAAGATATTTGCTTCATAATGCACTCATTAGTTGAACTTAGGTAATTAAACTAATAATTATTTAAAATAAAAATTTCTGTTATTTAAAAATTAAAATTGCTGTTTAATTAATGTCGTATATTCTCAAAAAATTAAATTGAACTACAAATATATGAAAACAATTTAATCATAAAATTTTTCAAATTATTAAATTGCACATACATATTATAAAAAAACTGATGTGAATAATTTTCATCTTTTTTAAAAATAAAATCCTTTTTTATCCAAAATTACAGCAATGGTAATAAATATCAATCTTTTCATATAAAAAATGTTAATATTATGAAACAATAATTAATAAATTAATTTCTTTAAATGGTAGTAATAAATTCTATTGTTTTAAATACTTATTTATGAAACATTAATTATAAACGGATAAAAATGTGTGTTAATTTTTATTACGAAATATTCGTTGCCAACACGAGACTATGAAAAAGCTACCACCTCCATGCGAGAGAATAAGATTGTTATAAAGTAGAGAGGTAGAAAGAAGGAATATACTAGGCTTCTTGTTGGTCTAAGAAGTAAAGCGAAAGAAGAATTGAGTGTACTATGAGGCAATAGTGAAAAATCATAACACACGCGCAAGTGAGTTTGAGAAACGAAACTTTTCTCTCTAGAAGGAGAAGTGAGAGTAGTTCTAGGTTAAGGAAATATAAGAAAGAAAATAACGTAACAAATTCAAAAAGTTTCGCTTATCATCCTTACTTTTGAGTATATGTATATATTCAATTGCATTTTTCTCAAACATTGAAATTACTTTAGTTTTTTAGAAACTTACCTTTGTAAGACACAAAACACGTTCCACACAACACTAAAGACAAAGACGTTAATCACCTGTAATGACCGTTTAGCGTTGTTTTCGTTTTCTGTAGGATGAGGCGCTTCAGTCGTTAAACTGTTTTTACATAGGCTTCCGTAAACGTGAACACGAATATGGACTTAAACGCAAAATTAGACGTAAACCCACTATCGCCCAAAAGTAGTTTTGTCTTTTTAATTAAAAATATTATAAAATCGCTGGGTTAGTGGAAAAAAAGGACACGTCGGATTTTCGTTGAAAAAGAGGACACGTCGCGTTTGAGTTGAAGAAAAGGACACGTCGAATTTTATATTTTTTTAAGAAAATTTAAGTTGGTAACACTTTTTTTGAGGTTGACATTTAAATATTTATTTATTTATCACTTAACTGTAATAAATTGTATTGGTTAGAATGGTTAAAAATTAAATTATAATATTGAAAATTTAACCTTGTAATTCTATCTTAATTAATATTTTTGTTTAATACAATTGAGGGCCTCCATGCAATAAGGGGACGAGCGCGCCAGTAGAAGTCCCCGCGGACGGCGCGAGGCCGGCTGCGCAAGGAGACAACGAAAATCACGTTCGTCCCCTTATTGCATGGAGGCCCTCAATTTTCAGTTTTCGCTTAGTTACAAAAATTAAAATTATAATTATCCTTATTAAAAGATGAAAGATGTATATGCAGCAAAAAATTTATAACTTCAAAAATTTTTCGGGTCGTTTATGTGTAAATTATTATTAAATAATAATAAAAATTGTTATTTCATGTTATGATGTAATTATTTGTCTTTTATATTTAAGTTTTATTTCCTACAATCAAAATATTTTTTATCAATTTACACATAAACGACCCGAAAAATTTTTGAAGTTATAAATTTTTTGCTGCATATACATCTTTCATCTTTTAATAAGGATAATTATAATGTTAATTTTTGTAACTTAGCGAAAACTGAAAATTGTATTAAACAAAAATATTAATTAAGATAGAATTACAAGGTTAAATTTTCAATATTATAATTTAATTTTTTACCATTCTAACCAATATAATTTATTTCAGTTAAGTGATAAATAAATAAATATTTAAATGTCAACCTCAAAAAAGTGTTACCAACTTAAATTTTCTTAAAAAAATATAAAATTCGACGTGTCCTTTTCTTCAACTCAAACGCGACGTGTCCTTTTTTTCCACTAACCCAGCGAAATAGAAGCGTCACAGGTGTTTGAAGTTTGATCTTTAGTTTTCAGTCGTGCAGCCTACTGGCCTCAAATATTAACCAAACTTAAAAAATAAAATTTTTATGGTTAAAATACACAAATACATTTTTTATGACGAAGAGAAAACTAAAAAATTTTTTGAAAATTTTGGATCATTTTAAAAAAAAACAATTTAAAAAAAAAATCTATAAAAAGAAGAAGACTTCTGGCCTTGGTCTTCCCTATTGGAAAACCCTGTACAAGATCTGCTTGTATAAGAAAATGTACATGTTCAACAGCTGAACTTGTACCTGTCTTGGTGAAAAAGGACAAGGTCTCGTAAGGATAAAAAAATAAATTAAAAAATTTTAGAAAATTAACGCTTTTCAAATTTTTTAATTGTTGAATCATTAATTACTTCATTATATTTAATTTAGTGAAATGTTTGTAAATAAGGCAATATTGGTGCGTTTTGAAACCTTAAAAAACATATTTGCAATCCCTATTGAAAAAAAACACGTATAATTATACGTATAATAATACGTATAATAATACGTATAAATATACGTATAATAATACGTATTATTATACGTATATTTATACGTATTATTATACGTATAATAAGACATACGAATTTGAAACAAGAATTATACGTATAATTATACGTGTCTATAATTTTTAATATTTAGGAATATAATTATAAATATGGAATATATTTTTGTTTATTAATATATACCTAAATATTATAAAATATTGACAAGTATAATTATACGTATAAATATACGTATAATTATACGTATAATAATACGTTTTGTTATACGTAAAATTATACGTACTATTATACGTATAATTATACTTGTCAATATTTTATAATATTTAGGTATATATTAATAAACAAAAATATATTCCATATTTATATATTCCTAAATATTAAAAGTTATAGACACGTATAATTATACGTATAATTCTTGTTTCAAATTCGAATGTCTTATTATACGTATAATAATACGTATAATTATACGTGTTTTTTTTCACTAGGGATAGTTTAAAAGTAACAAATATTTCTAGTTAAAAAATTTGAAAAAATCATGTCTAAAATCACCACAGACCAAAAATTGATTAAAAAACTTCATAAATTTAAAGAAAAGAAATATATAACATATTAAGTCCGCTTAACTAGTAACCTGCCCGTGAATGCGACGAAGACACTCTTATTACGTTGCTCTGTTGTTTCTCGCTCGCAATCACGCTTACAGTTGGCTACTATTAAAGCGGACTTACATACCTATCCGGCTGAAAAAACTTGTACAAGAGAATGTACAAGTTCTTGTACATGTTCGAGTAATGTTC